CACACCCTCTATCGTTAAACTATCATTTTTAAGCAAAAAAAAAAAAAAATACCCAAAATATCAAAATTGTCCTTACATAAACCCCAAACAATATTTATACATAAAATACGGTTAAAATTCGAGTAAATTAAAATTTATTTTTTTATAAATTAAAATTCGATTTTTTACACATTAAAATTTAATTTGAGTTGATTAAAATTTATATATTTTTTACTTATTTAAATTCATGTCAATTAAAATTCTATTCAAATTGATTTAAAAAAAATTACATATTAAAATTTCAGTCGTTTAAAATTTATATTTTTGATGTAATTTGGGCTGATTAAAATTCAATGTTAATCGAATTTTAATCGAGTCAAATTTTAATACGACAAAAAATTTAAAAAATAAAGGGAGTCTCATTGAAAATATATCAATTTAAAGGAGATATGAATGAAATTTTTCTTAAAATATATCTCGGGTAATGTAATAAAATTGAATAGAAAGGGTGTTGGTGAAGATTTAAAAAATAGAAGGAGTATCCTCCGGGATCTCCACTATCTTACGGATTGTGTTATTGTTATCGAGAAGTAGTTCTACAGTCTGCATCAGAAAAACAGTTGCAATTAGCATGTTATTGTGTAGACAAACAATATGGTCATTCCATGGAAAAAAAATCCAAAAAAAGCAAGAAAAGGTTAGTCATGAAAAGGAGTGAAGGGAGTTTGATCAATTTGAACTTACATCCACTTGCTTTCTGGAGGCTGCAAGGTGTAAAACAGTGTTCCCATCGCAATCAACAGAATTTATGATGGCCTCCATATTTAGTCTTTTGAGCCAGCTAACCATGAGCATAAAAGGCGTTGAATTGGTTGTTTTCCACAGAGAGATGAAGGGCAGTTTTCCCGTCAACCATGGTATCTACAATAGATTTCGGGCAAGTGGAGAGCAGTACATCCATCACTTCAATTCTTCCCTTCATAGCAGCATAGTGAAGAGCTGTTCTTTGGTCTTTGCCTTTCAGACGACAAATTTCATAATTGTTTTTCACAAATTCCTTCACCAATTCCACGTTCCCCATCATCGAAGCAATGTCCAGAGGCCGAAATCCATCTTTACTTAATTATTTGGCTAGTTCATGATCGTGGTTTATAAGCTCACATACAAAATCAAGCTGCTCGGATTTCGTTACAACATGTAGAAGAGACTTCCTTGGAGATGAGAGTGCAACATCAATAAGAACACTTGGATTTTCTTTAAGCATTTTTTGGAGAACCTCAACGTTTCCTTCCCAAGCAGCTTCAAACAATACTTTACTATCCATTTGTTGACCTTGCATGTAAAACTAAAACGAAGCCTTAGCTGAGGTAAAAGAAATTATATTTATACATTATTTGTCTTGATTTTGTTGGGAAAAAAACATTTCTTAGGCTACGGTGTCAAAAAGCTAATCCTTGATATCGTATATCTTTTGCTTTAAATCTACTTATAAGTTTTATAACGTGATATGTAAAATATTTTCTTCTCTTATAATTTCATTGATTTTATTATTGACGATGTTCAAATATCACAAGTTTAAGTCTAATGATAAGACAATCAATGAGTGATGGAGTTGAAAGAAATGATCAAAATTTCATCGATAAAATTTTTTGAATTTGAATTTTAGTATTTTTTTGGAGATTATTCTTTATGAATATTCTAATCCCAACGTGAATAGTCTACCTTTGACTAAACTGAAAAAAAAAAATGGTTTTTGTGTATGTAAATTAGCTTGAATACCCTTGATAGTTGGACTAAAAAATAGAAAGTGGTAGTGTTCAGAAATGCTTAGCCCAAGTCCATAATAGTGATTTTATGGTCTAGAAAAGGGATAGTGTGGATATGTGAATTGGCAGTAGATTAAGCTGTGAGGATGAATCAAAAAAGTATATAAATAGTTCACTTTAGCCGGGAGACTAAGGTTTATATCCACTATGATGGAGTCTCTTGCTCCTTAGAGGTGTATATTTCTTGAAGAAGAAGATTACAACAGATTGTCTTTCTTAAAGCCTGTTCATACGATGTTGTAGTAATACCAGTATATCAATGGGGGAATTGTCAGTCTCCCCTGTGTAGTGTGATAGTATTCTATTTATATGGGTAATTCTTCTAGGGCTTTTTACGGTGTCCTCTCTCCTTTTTGTTGATTCTGTAGTCCCCTTTTCTTTTGTTATTTAGTAATCTCTATCATGCGGCGCCATTGTACCCACGATTCTTGGGTGGTTACATGCACAAAAAATCCCTTGGCCAGAGGGTACATGATCGTTAGAGACTTCATAAGTTGTCCCCTGATCCCTAGACACGTGGCGCGAAATGGGGCAATTGGAGTCTAATGAGTACCGAGCTCCTTTATCCTCGGCTGCTTAACGCTGAGTTTGCTATGACCAAGCAAGGTCATGCCAAACTGGACTTTCTGCAAGGCTTCCTCCTTTGGATTATGGTTCATTCCTTATTAGTAGGAGCAGATGGGTTGTTAAGGAGTTTCTTAGGCTGTTGTGCCCCTTTTTTAACCCATTAGGTGATTTGAATTTAGAATGGACAGCTCACTCCAAAATTCTACCGTTATCAAAAAGAAACGGTCAAAATTCTTCCACAGTCAAAAGGATCTAATGCTCATCTTCACAGCAACCGACTCTACGAACACTCAAATTGAATTTTGGGCTATCCTCAAGGGACTGGAACTCATTCTAAGGAAAGGGATTAGTCCAGTGATGGGTGAGACCGGTTCCCTTGAGGTTTCCTAATTTCTTGCCTATGACCAATATGAGGTTCATCCTAACACAGCCCTTATAGGAAAGTGCAAGCATCTGATGGAGGTGAACTCAACATAGTTCACATCTTGCATACTTTGAGGGAAAGCAATTAGTGTGCGGACCTGTTAGTCAACCTTGGAGTCCAACAACAGGAAAATTTTCATTGAGCTTAAAAGATCCCCCACTAGAACTGGGGAGCCTGCTAAATACAGATATAGATAGTACCTCAGTATCTTAAGACATCAATTTAGTTGTTGATTTACTCTTCTAATGTGCCAAAAAAAGAAAGCATGAAAAGGTAAATCATGAAAGGGAGTGAAGGGAGTTTGATAGATTTGAACTTACGTCCACTTGCTTTCTGGAGGCTGCAAGGTGTAAAACAGTGTTCCCATCGCAATCAACAGAATTTATGATGGCCTCCATGTTTAGTCTTTTGAGCCAACTAAAACTCTAAAGGCGTCGAATTGTTTGTTTTCTACAGAAAGATGAAGGGCAGATTTTCCGTCAACCATGGTATCTACAATAGATTTCGGGCAAGTGGAGAGCAATACATCCATCACTTCAATTCTTCCCTTCATAGCAGCATAGTGAAGAGCTGTTCTTTGGTCTTTGCCTTTTAGACGAAAAATTCCATGATCGTTTCTCACAAGTTCCTTCACCAATTCCACGTTCCCCATCATTGAAGCTATGTCCAAAGGCCGAAATCCATCTTTACTTAATTCTTTGGCTAGTTCACGACCCTGGTTTATAAGCTCTCGCACAAAATCAAGCTGCCCGGATTTCGTTGGCAACGTGTAGAAGAGACTCTCTTGGAGATTATAGTGCATCATCAATAAGAACACTAGGATTTTCTTTAAGCATTTTATGGAGAACCTCAACATTTCAATCCCAAGCAGCTTCAAACAGTACTTTACTATCCATTTTTTGATCTTGCATGCAAAACTAAAAGGAGGCCCTAGCTGAGGTAAAAGAAATTATTGTTCAGAGAAGGTAATGTATCAAAACAAACCATTGGACTGCCTTATATAATATAATTCACTGTAAGAGGGGCGTTTGAATTGTCAAAGTAATAAAATGTGAAAATACAAAAGTAGAAACTTCGAAGTCTACTTTTCCAACAGTGTAGAGAATGAGTCTCTCATTGGCCAATGCAGGAAATTAGTTCCAGTTAGCTCTAGAAGGACTCTATCAATATATTCTTCAATTCAGTGTGTTCGTAAAAACAATGGTAGTTTAGCAAATAAGTACATTTCAAATAATGGTATTATGGTAATAAAGTTTTTTTTAGAAAGGGTAAACTTATAAATAACTATATTTCCACTACCTGGATAAAAAAAATTGATGCAATCCAAATTGACGTTGTTAGATAATACTTCTGACTATTTCGTTGGTATGATAGTAATCAATTAATATTTTATTTCATTGGTATGATATTAGTCGATTAATATTTCAATCAAGTCTTTTCTTTTCCCCGTCTTCTACCTCAAAGTTTTTCATTGTATCTTCGACCTCGTCATGGAATAGGGCAAATGGTCATTTTATACCACTAGGTTGTAATATACTAGGGGCAAAATGGATTCAAATCAAAATCCGATCCATAAACTAGCATAACGACGAACAAGACATTCCCTTAAAAAACTCGGCAGGTATATACCAATGGCATGCAAACCATTAACCATTGCACCCAGTGTTAAATCAACATATCCAGCTACAATTGAGCAAGGAAACAAAATTAGCAATACAAGCCTTGCTTTAATACATGCTCAGATCAAGAGTAACAGTGAAGCAGTTGTAACAAAACTGTTTACGACATGAAGCACCTTCCCACCATCTAAAGAAAACCATAAAAAGAGGACCTAATATCATGTGAACAAGAACTAATACTATTAAATCACCCTTACCTCAATAATTTAAATTCCACAACTTGATTTTCCTCGATCATCCTCGTCATGGAATAGGGCAAATGACACCCAAATGCATTTAAAAATTAAACCAGTGACAATGACCCAATATCATGGTCCACCAAGATAATTACCGTACATGTCCTTACAAATTTTCCCACGAAGAAAAAAGGAACATAGAACAAAGTTGATCCCAAACCATCCATCTCAGAATGAAGCTCTGCGGTTTCATTCTTAGATAGTCACCTCTGAGCACAGCAATAATTAGTCGCCATAATTTTTTGGGGAGCCAAATCATGAGGTATATAGAGCGTACCCATGACAATTTCTATGAAACCACTCTCTTCACACCGATAGGTAGAAGATTCAAGTGTGTTCCAAACATGCTCCAGCAAGCAGTGAACACGCACTTCATACATGATTCTCCTGCGCATGCCTTTTCTGATCCCTTTCTGGGTAACCAAGCCTCCCCAACCTGTTTTTTATCCTCTGCAAAGTCATGGCGATTACGGTGGTGGGACCCTGGCATACAATCATGCCGCTGCTTTCCCTCCATTGGTTTGTCCACAGGGCTACCAGCCTTCCTTTTGCGGTTGCTGGACTTTGGTGAGCGATGTCCCCTGTCAGCATCATCGAACGCTTCCAGTTCTCCCTCTTCCACATTGTCATAATGTTGCCCACGTGATGACTGCCCTTTCATCCCTTGGTGCCCATCTCCAGCCTCATCTTGATGCTTCACAGTATGTGTGTGTTCATTATCTGTTCGGTTTGAAGATTTGGACCAGTTTGGCTTTCTTTCCGGCTTGACTTTCTCATTCTCAGCAGCCAATTCGATTCCATCTTCAAGTTCTCTCTCGATGAGATCATCCTCATCCATGAAGTCTGTTTTCCGCGCCATGTCACCACGGGCCTTCCTTCGTTTCTCAAGTGCTGCCTTTACCTTGTCTTTGTCAATCTTCTTAATAGCTTCTTGAGGTGACTGGCCAAGTGTACCATCTTTATGTTCCAGACTTCGACTATGGTATTTGTCCTTCAACTCGCCTGCTTCCCTTATCTCAATTCTCCCAGCAATCCTTTCTTGATCTTCCTCACCATGACCCTCAGAATCAAACCTAGATATATTTTGGACTGCCCCCATGTTTCCCTGGTGAGGTAATGCCTCTGGTTCATGATGATGATTGTCATTAATCTCACCGGCTCCCATGTGGCCTGAAATGCCATTTGTCTCTGTGTTTCCGTACTCATTACTTCGATTCTGAGTTACCCTTGAAGGCCCAGCATGATTACTGGTGTATGACTGATCAGGAACTGTCCGAGATGATGTTGGCTTCAAAGTTCCAACTTTGGAAGTAGCTCCCCCACCCTGAGAAGTACTATTATTCGTCACCTGCTCATCATTGACGGCAGGAGCTTTTGAGGGAGCCCGTGGAGTATCTCCAGCACTTCCTTCTACTTCACTAGTTTGAGAAGGTGGCACTCTATTTTGTTCATACAATTCTAACATTTGATTACTAACCTCTGCAAGGAATAAAAGATTAACAATTAAAAAGGGAACATCTAAGATATCAGATCTTATTTTATAACAATACGACTGTATCGCAAATATAGTATGCCAATCAATTAAATCATCTCTGAACAAAAAAAAAACCCTTTTCTCTCATTCTCCAAAACAAGATTTAAAGATAAAGAATCAAATTAAAAAAAACTTCGCCGACACATTTTCTATGTGTAGCAAGATTTAGTCCAAACAAAAACAAGGGTAGCTGGCTCTATCCAATGCCATCAGTCCACAACACTGCTATTCAAGGGAAGCAAGACACCCACCCTCCAATTGGCGTGGGGTGACATCAAACTCCTGCCACCAGACCTTCTCACCATCAGATGGGAGCTTTACCTTGAGGAACTTTGCAGCAAGAAAAATGGCACCTGCTGCAATGTGGTGGGGCATAAATTGCAAGCATAGAGACGTCCGAAGCCTGCATGCCGCTTTCCCGGGTCAAAAGGAGACAAGGAAGAATGACCATGGGTGGGCACTATATAATAACTATAATAAGCATTCTATCATACCCATCATTCACAAAATTCCATGCAACTTGGGCAAGAGCATTCTGGGCAACCTTGAACTTCTTAATTGCCTCAACAAGGGGTTTATATGGATGATGCACATTAAGATCAAAACCAAGAGTTGCCAGCACAACTCTCTCTCCAACCAAAATCAATTCTTTTTGTTGTTCATATACCTCCTGCATAATGGATGTAGAAACATCAAATATCTAGTGTAAACAACATATACCTCCAAAACAAGCTTCAAAATTTCTTTAGACAATAAAGCAATAACAAATATATATTAAAAAATAAAGCACAGCTGTTTTTTGAATCCAAGACAAAGAGCGACTCAAATCGTTTGGGGATAAAACAAGGCTTCATCCAACGGACTAGGTTATCTCAAGTTATTGACGATTGAGATCATTCTAGAATTATTGATTCTATGAACTAAATTAACTCACCGAAATTTTTATTCCACAGTAAAATTTCAATTTTTGAAGACTTGCCAATCCGCCCCAGTCAAACCCTAAACAACTCTCTGGATTTCTCTCATGCCTAAACTTACTACTCGCTCCCCCCATCTCTGCCTTAATCTCCGGCCCCTTCTCCCTTGCTTTGTTTTTCTTCTCTCTCTCCCCCAGTCTATATTATCCTTCCCTTTTCTCATCCCCTTGCTGTCGGCCTCATCAACAGCACCACCAATGGCCAAGCCACAACTCCCCAACGCCACCTACCAGTGACTGCGTTACTCTCTCACGTTACTCTCTTCACATCTTCCTCTTCTACACCACCCTACAACCAACCTGCAACGGCATTTGTGAGCTATGTGATAAATAAATAGCAGAAAACACAAAAACAGGCCACTGCAAAATCTGACCCATCTCTTGTCTCCAGCATAGAATGGCCTCCCTCACACGTATGTCTCTCCCTCTCCCTCTCTGCCCATCTCCTTCTCCCCACTCTCTCTATCTATCGCCCACCATCCCCATCCCACATCCCCACGCCCCACATCCACCACCCAACCCACCCCAGAGCCACTAACCAAAACTACTAAACACAGCCACTGCTAGCCCCGCCCTCTTATCCCCTCATGGTCACAAGCCACGGCCACTAGCCCACCGTGCACATCAAGTGTTTGCCGGAATGCTTGAGACAGCACCACATCCAATTGAGTTAGGACTACAGCTTCAAGGAATGGGGTTTTCCTGCTACCCAGTGCACATGATTTGTCACATGACAACCACACACAGCTACATATGGCATAGATTTTTGTTCAATTAGGGAAATTGATGAAATTGGTTCATTGTTTGATTAACCGTTTCATGTTTAACAATTTTTCGTACTCTTTAGGATTCCAATTATGATGGATTTCAATTGAGTTTGATAAGTTTAGTTTCATTGTGTTTTGAAATCAATCAGTGTATAGTTGGGCTCTTCTTGCATGGTAAACTTATAAGCCTTTCAGTCTCTTCACTTGGTTTTTTTTTTTTTAAAAACCTGAATTTTTTTTATTTTGGTGTAGAAGGAGCATGAGAGAAAGAGAGGTTTTCGGCTTTTCTCAAACACAGGGCATTGACAACCATAGCAGAGTCTGAGATTCCATTTTTGTTGATATGGAGACTATTTATCTTGACGAAAAGGTTTCAATTCTATACAAAATATATTACAGTCACAAATCCTCTATTGGATATTTGATGACTTTGGATTGATTTTTCTTCGCTTTTGATGATTATTGTTGGATTAGCATTTTTATGCACAAGCATTCCATCGTAGCATCTTTGTGATTGTTTGAATTCTTGTATCACGATATTTTGGCTTTTTAAATAACAAAATCTACATGTCATAACATATGACTTCACAGGAAGTTGAATGGTTAGTATACTTAGAGATAGATAAAAAAATACAGTGAATTTCATAAATGTGTATACTTTTGCAACGAAGTAGAGCATAACTGCAAC